GACTGGGGATCGAGCCCGCAACCCAAACATTTGCCCTGACCGGGAATGGAACCACGATCTCCTAGATCATAGGTCGATGTTCACCCGCTGAGCCATGCCGGCCAGGCAGGGACCTGTTAAATTTGAGGCATCCATGGAGCATCCAAGTGAAAATGCCCATTTTCTGACCCTTTTGTGTTTGGAGCCCAGGTAGGAAGTCTACCTGGAAACATAGATTTGAGAAGCATAAGCTATGGAAATGGATGAGCTTGCCCAGGGAATCAGGAAGAGTGCTAAAATAAGAAAGTGAAGACAGAATACTGGAGAGCATAAACATTTAAGAGGGAGAAACAACTAGTCAATGGAGAGAGTCCTTTTTCTTTGGGTTCTTAAGATGGGAGACCTTTAAGCATATCCTTGAGAGAAGGAGCCAGCAGAGAAAGAGAAGCTGCAAGGTGGCAAAGAGAAAGGGGGATAACTGATGAGAAAGATGGTGGTGAAGGCAGGCTGGATTGGTGTCAGAGCCCAGAAGAAAACAAGATGCTCCTTCCTCCAGGATGGGAGAGTTGACAGTTAAGAAAATATCCAGCCTAGAAGGAGAGGGGAAGGCTGGGAGCTATGATGTTTTGTAGGAGAATCGCAGTATTTAGAACTAGTAGAAGGGACCCGCAAATCATCATATCTAATTGCAGATAAGGAAACCAAGGACCAGGGAAGCTGTCATTTGCCCTCCTAATGTTAAATTATTTGTTGAAGAACTGGAACCAGACCCAGAACTGTTTGCAGCCCAGTTCTCTTCAAGAAGGACTGGAGATAAATGAAATAATGAAATGCCCCCTCCTACCCAAGCTGGTAGCTTCCATTTATTGATATTCCATTCCAGGTACTATTCTTAGCACTTTACATACACAGTCTCATTTCATACTCACAGTGACCCTATGAGGTAAACATTATCATCACCATTTAAAAAAATATATCTTTACTGATTTCAGAGAGAGGAAGGGAGAGGGACAGAGAGAGATAAAAACATCAATGATGAGAGTCATTGACCGGCTGCCTCCTGCACGCCCCAGACTGGGGATCAAGCCCCCAACCCAGGTATGTGCCCTGATCAGAAATCGATCTGCAATCTTCTGGATCCTAAGTCAGTGCTCAACTGCTGAGCCACGCCCAGTTGGTTGAGCACATCACCATTTTTTAATAAAGCTCTCTGTAGAGGTCAAGTAACTTGCAAGAGACAGAGGTGGAAATCAAACACACAGCTACTTAACTCTGAAATCAAACACACAGCTACTTAATTCTTTCACTACATCACTTAACAAGACACTACCTCTTCAGACTATAAAGCATGGAGCATCCTGGGCAAACCAAGGCCCCAGTATAGATCACACCCAGGGAAATGAGCAGAGCTGGAGTCACTAATTGTAAAATGTATTTTTTTTTCTCACATTTTTGACATTTCTGAAATTAAGGTGTATCTTACCAGCAGTGGCTGTCATAGTTTAATTTGTGATTTATTTCTTTCTTTCTTTCTTTCTTTCTTTCTTTCTTTCTTTCTTTCTTTCTTTCTTTCTTTCTTTCTTTCTTTCTTTCTTCCTTT